CAGCACCTTGTTCCAGCTCATGGAGGATTCGGCGGGGAAAGTTCTTGTATGGACTAGAGCTCCCTGGACTGTGTGTCGTCCAGTCCCTGCGAGGGAATAGAGCTAGTCCCCTATCCTATTCCAGGACAGAGAGCCTCCAGGAGGACCCCTGTCAAGCCATGGTTCCAGCTAAGAAGCGGTCCTTGGCGGAGGTACCCAGCCAGGGTACAGGGAGCTCCGCTACAATTGGTGGCAAGTGGTGGGATGGCTTCCTAGCCATGGGGAAACCATCACAATCAGTAGGACTTAGCCGCAAATGTTATGGAACTGTTTTCCGCATGAGGTGACTGTGCGGTTCCCGGACAACTTGGTTCGTGGTTTTGAACCACTTTGAAATCAGCCAGGAGAGTGCTTTTTGGAGGGAAGGTGTCTGAGACTAAGGGGAACAAATGCTACCAGAGAGCCAGGCGGAGCACCCCGTATTGCAGCTGCAGGAGTTCCCGAAAGTTGACCAGCAAAAGCACCAAACGCCCTGCAACTCTTTTGGGCATAGGACCATGTGTGTGGCCGGTCAGAACTTTAACACGGTGACCTTTTCCCTACCCTGCATGGATCTGAGTGCTATTTGGAGATTTCCCAGATTATGTATCGAGAGCGGAGCTATCACCATGGACACCAATAGAATGTTCATGATTATTGCTCCACTTTTAGTCCTTTGCCCCAAAATGTCTCTTCATAAAACCCATGGTAGGTCAGGATCACGAATAACATCTCTGGGTTTCATACTCATTTCAGAGGATTTACTAAAGTGAGAATTCAAACTGAATGTTAAATTTAAGGCCAGAGTGGTCGAACTGAAGGCATAGCTGAGAATTTCCCAGCTCGGCTATTTTGGCCTTCGATTTGAAATTAATGTTGAATTCTTCCTTTAGTGAGCAACCCTGCTTGGAACATCACTCCCATCATCTTCCATTGGGAGTTGTAGTCCACTGAAGGCAGAATCTGTGCATCCTGAATTAGTATTCTATTATTTATATAGCGCCATCAGACTCCGTAGTGCTGTACAATGGGTGAATGCATAATAAATAAAATTAAAGTAACAAACTGCTGA